GGGGATCAACATTGAAGACACCGATTGGCAAAACTGCATCATCCGAGAATCGAACTCGGGTCACAACGATGGCAACGTTGTATTCTACCACTAGACCAATGATGCCAATAAAATAAACTTTGCAACGCTTACCTGGCCAGTGAAAATGCATTATCTATGGAAAAATAGTTTCCGATGCGGGGACTCGAACCCCGGTCGCGGAAAGAGAGTGAAAGAGAGTATATATAATTTAATCTTCTGTAGTGACAACTTAGTGTCACCAGAAACCACGCTTGCACATACCAAATCACGGGTCGGTACGGTAGCACGCCGGGCTGGGGTTGGTGACTCTAAAAACCCTGTCCAAACCCAGAAATCAAGGATGAGTGGTACTGGATAGCATATGAGGCGTACTCTCCATCTTTCCGGGATGATCATCAGCGGACGACGAGTATTTCATACAATTCACAGGACTAGCTCATTGCCCTAAAAATCAGCGTAGCTACCCTGCCTCAAAGAAGATACCAGTTTGAGTCGCTAAACTACATCCATGGTGAATGCTAGTGAAGAACCCCCCCCCCTATAACCGGCCATTGGACGGGGGTCCGGGGATCAACATTGAAGACACCGATTGGCAAAACTGCATCATCCGAGAATCGAACTCGGGTCACAACGATGGCAACGTTGTATTCTGCCACTAGCTGCATTGAACCGCAGCTGGTTCGTGACACGAATCACGTGTTCGAGTTTGTGCTACTTACTCCACATCAAGTTTTCTAGCGCTCAGTTCATAGCTCTGTTGGCGATTCCCCAGTGTTTGTAATCGTTCAAGGATTCTCAGGTTGCACATTCGCGAGCTCAGCAGCCAGTTGCTGTAATACACCTTGTAACTGGTGTAATACACCGGATGTATGGCTCCGCCTCCATGCTCAACACTATGAATAAACACAAGACTGTCATAATGAGGTGTGTGAACGATACATCGCCAAGTCCATTCTATATCTGCCTCTTCGTTCATATTAACAGAGCCTACATTCTACTATCTAGGCAGAACTAATGCCAACAACTGAAGAACCTCTAGCTGTGGGCGACATGGAACAGACACATTCAAAACTTAAGCTTTATCATCCAATTTATCTGCCATAACCACAGGATTCGCCTTCGCCAATTTCCGACGCTCGTTGGTCTTGTAGTCGTAGTCACATTGGTGAGCCTCTGCATACCTACTCATCAACGTAATATCTAATACCGGTGCGAGGATTGCTACCTGTGTGTTGAACAGAAGTAATAACCGCATCGACATCTAACACCAGTAAGGCCGATGCGTTTCCCGCATGTCCAGCACCTGATAAGACAATCTATTTCACGAACTGCACGATGCTGATCAGAACGATCCGTACTGGTCGATCGTATGATTTGTCATAAGTATAATATAGATGCCCCCTACCGATTAACATCACTCTGCACTGGCCGGTCATCACTCGCCTCTACCAATTCATCAACTTTCTCGGCCTCTAGACGGGCCTTCTCCTCCTAGAAAGTAGTCCCATACGAAATCACCCCAAACCACATGAACGGGTTGTGCATAAGGTGTGCAAGCCGTTATAGTCAGGTATCAACTCCTACCGCAT